CTAATAACTAACTACATATTTTAAGAAAGAGGATCTTGAATCTGATAATGAATTAAAGAAAAAAAATCAATTCTATTCCTAAAATATCAGGTTTAACTCCTCATTAAAAAGCAATCAGCAAGTTAGTATCTGAACTTCAAGAGCAGTGACATTGTTCTCAAGATAATTTGTTATATTATGTTACTTCAGGAATTTATTTAAAGTTAACAGCAAAGTTGCTAGCAATATAGGTAGAATGCATTATAAGTATTATTAAATATCAATATTATTTTAATAATAATTATTATTATTATTTATAAAAATTTATCTTTAGATGAGCGGAACTGTAACAATTGAAATTGTATCAACTTATCCAGATTTTGCTGCATATCATATAACAAAAAATAATGTGCATTCATCAGCCACATTGATGATATCACAAATATCACAAATGACATAAATATTATAAATATATTCTTTTCAATCTATTCAGTATATACACAAGTAGAATGCCGATCATTCAGAATATATACTGATTTATAACTGTTTGATTATTCGAATTAATTAGTTGTTAATAAGCATATATTACAAATCAGAAATCAATCAGTTATTTACCCGATTGATATAGAATTATTAACAGATTGTTATCTATTTATTATTTTTGCTACTATATATTAAAAAAATGACTTTATAGATGAAAATGTATATTATTAGGAATGACAACTATGTATTTGATAGGTTTCTTTACTCCTACTACAAAATTACTGTTAACAAATCGGCAATATATATTGTGAATAAGAATTATACTATCTCTGCTAATTTCATAAAAATTATTCTTCCAAAGTTCAATATTACAACTACGATCATTATTATTTTCAATTCGACAATAAAACCTAATTTTCTGATGATCTACTAGTAAAAACTATCTAACGAAGGCTAAATAATAACTTTTAGTCCCATCTGAAAAATCAATTTTGTATTCAAAATAAAATTGAACTTGGCTGGAAAATGCTTCTATAATACCATTACTCTGAACAAATTTTGCAAGAATTTGTGAATTCTTTGCGAACCGGGATGCTAAAGTTAATCCAAATACTTCTACACTAATTCGAATATGGCTAAATTGATTTACATTAGGCATAACAACAATTGGTCGATCAGATGTAAATGCTCTATTTTTAACCAAATCAGCAACTGATACAAATTTCATTTTATATGCATTGTTATAATATTCTATGAGTAGCTTATAAATATCATTTAGTAGGTTTAATTTAGACTTTTTTGGGATAAGCATTACTTCAGGAAATGACTCGCTACTGGTTATAGTGTTATTAATATTAAAATAATAAATATCTAAAAATTGAGACAATTTATCAATTTCAAATACGTTATATGCTACTAAACTTCCAACAGTTGGTCAGGATCAAATCAAATCCAATCCTTTTTTCAGTTTTGATTTTCTATTTGTTAAGAAATTAGATTATCTAATCGCCAATTTTGTATTATAATACGTAATAATTTTAGCTCAATATTACGTTTTCTATTAGGTAAAGATACTATTAATAATATAAATAAATTAAATAAAATTTTTATTTTAGAAAATAATTAAAATAATTATTAAAATCACTTACCTAATACTCCATTCATTCGTTCAAATGAATAATACCAGAATGAATAAAATGGATCATAATCGAGACAACAGTCAGTAATATGAAGTGATAAGTGAATATTTGGCATTATAAATTCTAGCCTATAATTTCTTTCAATTAAAAGAGCGACTTTCAACAACTAGGAATGTGCCTTCTTCAATACATTATTATCAATAATGCACAAGACTAGTAAGAAGTAAGCCCTAACAAAATTACCTAATATCTCCTGATCAAAATCTCTAAGAATATTCTAAATTAATGGTGTGGCATATATAAGAATAAAGTTTTTCTATAGGTCTGCTGTAAATCCTGAAAAGTCTTCACCAATAGCAATTTTATTTGGAATTCTTCCAAAATCAAATAGTAATTTTATATTATTTGCTCTCTTTTCTATTTCTTCAAGTTGTTAGTTTGTAATTTTATCATTGTATATTCATAGTTTTTTTATTATTTACTGAGCAATACTGAGAAACAAGCAATGCATGAGATCAACTATTAGATGTTTAATAGGATTATAGTAAGTTAAGCGTAACATTTTAGACCATTTGGCTAAAGTAATTGAAACATAACGATCTCTTTCTTTTTCTATTTGACAATATAACTAAGCTGTAGCATTTTATCAGTGTTCATTTGGGTCTCTTGTTATAAACTAGCTTGCCATTTCATCAATTCGTCATAATTTGCCCTTTTACTATCATTATCACTATTTGCCCGTTTATAACACCTATGATATATCACAAATTTTGCGATCCTCCAAGAGTTTTGCATATAATCGAACTGAACTTTCAGATTAATCTGAAATTATCAGTTCAGTTCAGATTTTTTTTAGTTCAGATTAGAATTATAATCTGAAAAAAATTTGAACTGAACTGAAAATTTTCAGATTGATTTTTATGCAATCTGAAACTGATATGAACTGATCTGATATGAAAAATCTTCAGATTAATCTGAACCATTCAGAGTTTTAATTAAAGAAAATTTTTTTAAAAATTTTTATTCAATGATTATATAATAAATATTAATTATATTATGCTAATAAATGCAGTTTAAAAAAAGAATTACTTACTATTTAATTGATTAAGTAGTTTTAATTCAAGTCAATTAATTTGAATTCTGATTCAAATTAAGAAATTCTTAACTTGAATCAGAATTTACTTGAGTTAATTCAAGTATGAATTCAGTCTCTAATTTTAGTATAATCAGTCCATCACGGCAAAAATAAATGACCAGATTTTTTATTTTTTTTATTTTTTTTCTTTTTATTTTCATATTATTTTCATTACTAATATTTTATTTTTTTCCTATATTATATTATTTATTTTATTAATATTTTTTTATTTATCTTTTATATGATTAGTTTAGTGTAATCAGTTCGTCAAAATAAGATAAGTAAATAAAAATTATTTTAATTCTTTTTTTCTTTCTATTTTCTATATTGTTTTAATTAATAAATATTTTTTCTTCTTCTTAGCTTTTGTGCGATCAGTTCAGTATGATTGGTCTATTACAACTAAGGTAAATAACCAGATTTTATTTTTTTTATATTGTTTTAATTCTTTAATTAATAAAATTTTTTATTTTTCTTTTTAGCTTTCATATAATCAATTCAATGCAATCAGTTTATCGCAACTAAAGTAAGTAACCAGATTTTATTTTATTTTTCCTATATTATTCTAATCATTTAATTAATATTTTTTTAGCTTTTATTTAATTAGTTTAGTGCGATCAGTCTGTCACAGCTAAGATAAGTAGATTTTTTGTATTATATCAAATTACTAACCTTTTTTTTATTTTATTTTTTTATTTAGATAATTTATGTTTAGATTCAGATTTTAATTGAATTGTTTGAATATAGGTAAATTGCGAATTTGTAACTTTTTTGACATTATTTTAGATTACTAATTAGTTTTCTTTTTAATTTAATCAATCAAATTAGTGATCAATAATATTTTGTTTACTCTTAAAAAGTTAAGCTTAAATTTATATATATATTTTTTTGATTTAGTAAAAAGACATTGATCAGTTATGTCATATAGATCCTTTTTTTTATAATATCTAATAATTTATATTATATAAACTGATTTTAATTTTTAAAGACTAGACTAGAATTATAAAATTTTGTAAAAAAAAATACAGATATTTTTTTTAATATAAAATGAACTTCTGTTCTATTAAAATATTATAGTAAAATAGTATAATGAAACAGTATAATGAAATACTAAAATAGTATAATGAATACAGTAACAGTAAACAGTAATAATATTTTCTTAAAAATAGTATCAAGATTTTTTAATAATCTTTCCTTGTTTATATATTACTAAGCAATGATCAGTAATAATATGAATACAATTGTCCTTTTAAGTCAATTTTCTTACCTTTTTTATATTGATCAATATTATTTTTTTATCAATCAAAATGTATATTTCATTAAATTAATAAATTAATTTTCAAGTATAATATAATAATAACTCTTAAATATATATAAATAAATCTACATTATAAATAATAAATATCAAAATATATATAATTATTACTTTTTATCTTTTTTCTTTCTTTTAAATAAATTTTATTAAGAAAAATAATACTATTTATAATCCAAATTATAAATAAATTGTTAGTAAAATTTTTCTTTTACTACCTAATAAATAAATTAACTTTAAATTATATATTTAATAAAAAAAAAATAAAAAGTAAAAACTATTTATTTTTTTTAAAAATTTGTATTAATTATATATTTAAATTATAATTAAAATAAATTAGTCAAAGAATAATATAAATTAAAAAATTTTCTTTAAATTAATGTTTAATTTAAATTTATTTACTAAAAAAAATAATATTTAACTTATAAAGTAAAAAAAATTTTTTTAGTAGTTACCTCCTTTTTTATTACAAAGTAACTATATTTATTTTAATAAAATAAGTTTATATTTAATATTAATTCAAAAAATTTTTTTGAAGTTTCTTCATTTTTTATTACAAATATTCAAATAATAATATAATTAATCAATCTAAAATTTTAATATCTAAATTAAAAAATAATATTAATATATCAATAATATTTATAATACTATTTAATTCTATTAATTAATAATATTAATTTTATTAAAATTAAAGATAATATTACAACATTATAATATTTAATATTATCTATTGTAATTAGTTAAAGTATTATTTTTAATTAAATTTCTAATAAAATAAATTTAATAATAAAAATTGAAATAATATTAATTAAATTATTAAATTATTAAATTTTTAAATTAAATCAGATTATATTAAGTTAGGTTAAATAACTAGATTATCAAATATAATTTAAAGTTTAATCTATATTTATGCTTTAATATAAATTGATAAATTATTAGTTAATTTTTATTTTGACATATAAATTATATTCAATATATATAATTATTTTATTAATAATTTATAATAAATATTGAATTGATATAATTAATTTTGACATAATTAAAGCTAAAGTATATTTATATTTATAATAGATTTGTAGCTTCAATAAAAATCACAAAGGGTAAATAAAACTAAGACAATTACTTAAGAAATCACAAGTGAGGATTCACAATAATATTAAAGATTATTTTTAATATAAAAACATGTAAGATAAACACAAATAACAAAGATAACTCAAAGATATTTTAGAGATTACATTTCAAAGACTTTAAATTAATATAGCAAATTAATATAATATTATATAATAAATTTACTATCAATAATTAAAGAGATTGCATGAATGCAAAATACTGGTTGAAATCAAAAAAATCAGACATGCAAAAATCAGCCTAAAAGCAGCCTAAATTTGGTCTAAATTAGGCAAATTATCAAAAATCAGCCTAGTCGATTGACATACATTAGAAATCAGCCAAAAATCAGCTAAAATTCGACATATCTTATTTATAGCCGATTGGCATACTTATAGCTGATTAGTATATATCAAAATTTAACCTATCTTATTTATAACCAATTGACGTCTGATTGGAATGATAGAGTATTATCATTCTTTAGGAACAATAGTATTATTGTACTTAAGGTATGATAGTTTTATCATTTCTAAAAAACGATGCATTTATCGTACCTTAAGTATAACAATTTATCATTTTTAAAGTATTATAGTATTATCGTTTCTTAGGGATGATGGTTTTATTATTCCTTAGAGACGATTGTTTTATCATTCCTTAGTGATGATAGTATTATCATTTCTTAGGAATGATGGTATTATTATACCTAAAGAATGATGATTTTATCATTCCTTAGTGATAATAATATTATCGTGCCTAAGGAACTATAGTTTTATTATACCTAAAGAACAATGATTTTATCATTCCTTAGAGATGATTGTTTTATCATTCCTTAGGTATGACGATTTTATCATTTCTTAGAAACGATTGTTTTATCATTTCTAAGGTATGATAGTATTATTTTTCCTTAGAGATGATGGTATTATTATACCTAAGGAATGATAATTTTATCATACCTAAGGAATGATGTATTATCATTCCTTAGGTACGACGATTTTATCATTCTTTAGAGACAATTGTTTTATTATTCCTTAGGAATGATAGTATTATCATTCCTTAGGGATGATAGTTTTATCGTTCTTTAGAGATGATGGTATTATTATATCTAAGAAATGATAGTTTTATCGTACTTAAGGAATGATGCATTTATCATTTCTTAAAGATGATTGTTTTATCGTTCCTTAGGAATGATGGTATTATCGTACCTAAGGAATGATAGTTTTATCATTCCTTAGATAAGATGCATTTATCATTCCTTAGGTATAATGGTTTTATCATACCTAAGAAATGATGATTTTATTGTTCTTTAGATACGACGATTTTATCATTCCTTAGATACAACGATTTTATCATTTCTTAAGAATGATTGTTTTATCGACGATGGCATTATCATTCCAATGAACCGAACTTTCAGTTTAAACTGATTTGCTAAAATAATATTGATTAAATGTACTATTTCAATTTTTTTCTGGTATATAAGAATATTTATATAAATAAGCTTAATTTTTTAACTTTTTAAAAAATAATTTCAATCATTTCCAAATTTTCTCTTTTTACATTTTAC